GTGACTTCGTTCTCTGCTCAGGATGATTTGGCCAAGCCACTCTATGTGTTCCCTCGTGTGTCATTGTGTTGGGTCAGTTTGTTTAGTTAACCCCTTATTTAGTTGGTATCTTGAGTATAGTTATGTTTTGTTGACCTGTTTAGTTGTTACACTCTTGTTTTGTTTCTTTTGGGTAAATAAACACCCTGTTTTTTTTTAACAATTTCTGTGTTTTTGTTGCCTCATTGCTTGGTCTCTCACAATCATTCTTTGTAAATGCAAACTACAGGGGATCCAATATTGGGCTCTAAGTAAAGAAACAATATAAGACATGACATTTCTTTTTATTGAAGTTAAAACTGCAGGCAGATAGTCATTTTTATCCACAGGACGAGGTTTCTTTGGGACTGGTGTGATTACAGTTTTTTTCCAGAGTGCAGGGACAGTGTGTGTGTGCAGTGATCGCAGGAAAACAGGACTCGGTGATGGTGGTGGTGACATCTGCGGTAGTAACACCTTCTTGCTTTCCAAATGCTTTCAGGGTCATGTATTGTAAACAGTCCTGATGAGAGAAGACCTGGAATGTGTGCTGATCAAAAGCCCTGATGAGTCCTGATGATGATTTGCATTCAGAGGGAGGAAGCAATTGACCCAATAGGCAGGGCAGGGTTTGCTTTGTGCTGGAAGTAAGGTATGATATGGTAACACCCATAAAAGTCTCTTTGGTCCTACATGGGTCATTTATGCTTAGCAGGATCTCTTTGGGTTTCTTTGGTTTGACTAATTCTGACAAACAAGACAGGTAGAAAAAGATCAAATGTTTGTCTCAAAAATGAAGACCTCAACCAGTATGTTTTTGAGAGACATGAAGAATCAGAAGACACAGGACACAAGTCACAACATCTTCATTGCACAGTAATGTTAATACTTTGTGTGCAGTCCTCGCTCTGTCAGCCCAATCCCATATCAGGATCAATAATTACAGCCCAGAGGCAACATCAATATTTTCATCACCAGTGACCTATCGCCTATCTCTGCCCACCATCTGACCCACATTTAACACTTCAGCACACAGCTAGGACTGGGCCACCCTCACATGTGTTGTTAGACTAATGCCTTTTCCACATAAATCCATGTATGACCAGTTACAGCAGCCTGCTGGTTGTCTGTAAATACTCACACCAGCAACAAACAGGGTTCTGCTGGGTTGTTGTCTGCATTTAGCATCTGTTAGCTTGAGCATGTGAGACTGCTAATAGTGTGTGGAGGACAAAGTGACTCTGGTAGAGTCCAGCCTCCAAAGTGTATGGTACTTAGCATGTTAAGAGCTGAGGTTGGCAAACCTAGCTCCAGTTGTAAGCACAATGGTGCAGATGGCCTCAGCTGAATCAGGGGAAACCTGATGGAGCTCCATCCATGGAGCTGGGCAGCGAGCCGCTGAGATGACCCTTTACTTTCTCACCTAGAAAAATAATAAAACTTAATTAAGTGATACAATAACAGTCAAAAGATTATAAATAGTAGTAATAATAATGCAAATGTGCAAAACGTTCAGTGTGAGGTAAAATCGCCAGTTCTCTCTAACATTAGCATAAAGCAGGTCCAGGGTCCTGTCTCCTGCAGTCCTCGAGTGAAAGTGAGGAGAGTTTTTTCCAGTTGAAGTCCCTGGAGATCATGAAGGAAGCAGAGTTTAGTGTCTTTATTTAACAGAATGGATGAGGTCACACATGGTTGCTGGCTTACAGGTGGATGTAAACAACATGTATGGACATGTATGGATAGCCCCACGGCTAACAGTTCAATGTCTCTGCTGCAGAAATTTAAAAGAAGCTCAAAGGTCCCATATAGTCTAAATGTAGACGTCCATGTGTTGTTTGATTATAAAGTAGGTCTAGGTTCTATATTTATACTGTGAAAGTATCAAAGCCTCAGTCCACAGAGAAATGCACACAGCCTGTATTCAGAAACTGAGCTTTAAAACCAGCCGTCAGGACTTCTGCAACTTTGTGATGTCACACCAAAGCAGTCGCCACCCTCGACCATGCTCCAAGTCCCTCCCACCTGGACCCACCATTAAACCCTGCAGGATTTGGTTTCTCTGAATGTTTACCTGACATCCGCTATATTTTTATTAGATCATTGAGAAAACAGTCAGCCAACTGGAAGAGAGGCTCAGAGCCTCCTCTCTTCTGATTGGCTCACCGACCTGTTGTTACTACTGAGAGAAGCCTGAGAAAGGAGATGTAAAACTACATTGAGATGGTTTTTGGTTCTTAAAACCACAAAATATCTTCTTATGGATCAACACTTCAGATAAAACACAGAAGAAGTGTCAAATATGGAGCTTTAAATAATGGGACAAAAGAAGAAGAAAGCTAAAAAGTTGGTAAAATAAGAAAATGAGCAGGAGCAACTGCAACAGGCTGCATGCATGCTGGTGCATGCACCCAAAACACTTTTCAAGAGACATTTCACTTTTAAAACCCATTACACAGGCGCACACAGACACACACACACACACACACACACACACACATAATGCTTCAGTGTTTTGATGGTGCAGTGATTCAGATAGTGATTACTATAAATCCCAACTATGAAGGCAGCAACACAAGTGAGTCATTAAGAAGTGAGTCAGCTTTAACATTGGTCTGACACTTACCATTATCAACATTAACATAATAAAACAGTTATTGTCAGTGAGGTCTGTGAAATTTGAAGGGACAGTGTGTGGAATTTGAAATGTTCACACGTTCGTATCTGAATGTCACCTCTGGATAACGAGCAGTTCCACTAGAGGCAAGCTAATGATATCAGCTGCTAAAGGCCAAAACAGTCTCACACATATACTGTACACTCAGAGTGCGACAAAACAATACCAGCAACACAATAACAGACTGGCAGTGAAAACCAGTATAGTGAAGATCGTTGGTTATCTCTTTTGGCGGTTAGACTGTCGGACCTGTTGATTTCAATCAGAATAGTTTGAGAATAGCTTGTCGTGGTGAACAGGTGTACTGCTGAGTGTCTTTCAGTCAGTGTTGTTGAGTATTAAATTGTGATAACTGTTCCCCCTTTGTTACAACCTGTTTGAAATGCTGTATATCTTTTATTTTGCCACATTACATAATGCTTCAGTGTTTGGATGCTGCAGTGATTCAGGCGGTGATTACTGTAAATCACAACTACAGTATGAAGGCAGCAGCGCAAGTGACTCATTCTCATTAAGAAGTGAGTCAGTTTTAACACGGGTCTGACGATTACCACTATCAGTATTACATTATATTATATATCATAGCACTTGTTGTTCAAAGCTTTGTGACTTTTGAAGTTAAAAGCATTGAACAAGTGCGCATGGATATGTTATAGGCTAATATACTCATGCAAGTGCGTCCCAGCCAGGTTCATCACTTTTTTGTGTCCCCTGGAAAGACTTCTGTTGTCGTCAGTATTTGTAGAACGTGTGGTCAAATTTCTGTTTTATTAACTCATTTGTGTTTTTGTCTGTTTGCATGTGTTTTCTTAAGTTGCAGTGCATCGAGCTCTCAGGGCCACCATAGCATTAACATAATAACTTACTGACAATAACATAACAGTTATTGTCAGTAAGTTTCCTCACTTTTTGTGGAGCTTTGTGGATCAAACATCACAATGAGTTAGTCCGTGCACCATGGACTCCTTTTTGTACTAAAACTAGGAGTTGCCGTGAGCCATGGTGTGGAGTGATGATGTCACTTTTTGGTTCTGAGTTGAGTTGTTCTGGCATTACGAGGCGACCAACACCTCACTAAGACACTTTATGTTGGTTTTTGCTTTAATTTGTCCCCTAATGCAACACGCAAGTGTTTTGGGTTGTTTTGTTTTTTTTTTTAGATAAAAATTAATTTTTAGTTCTTTTATGTCACACCACAGGACATTATGTCACACTTAAGGACAGTAGGACAATACTAATTATATTCATTTCTATCTTGTGTGACACTGAAAATGCTATATCTATATAAATAGCATTTTAACTTTTCACAAGGCGGCTATTTCTGTAATATTTTTTAATGTGACAGTAGGGCCTACTAGGCAATTTAGAAATGGCTGAGTTGACCTGCTTTATGGAAGTTTTAATACAGAATTATATTTACAAAAGCAAAAAAGTTCAGCTGCCACCCACCACTACTAATGCTTAGTTCACACTACGATTTGCCAAGGACATTGGTCAATTTCTATTTGTGAAATTTTCAAAGACACATTCCAAGAGACTCGCTGACACATCGCAGATGCCCAAAAGGTATTTAGCAGATTAAATATCAGGGAGTCCAAATCCATTAGTGTGACCAGTGTTGTGACCTGCTAGTGACTGGCACTGAGCTACAGCCAATGAGAGCACCACACATGAGATGAGAGGATACCTGGGGTAGGAGTTGTATAACATCAATCTCTGCTGCCCGCATATCCCAATCCATTCTTATCCACATTATTTTATTTTATTCCTTGTTTTTTCGCTGAAAATCAGTGCACAAGAACGCCCGCTTCTTGTGAACACTCATTTTGGAAGAAAAAAAATCCTGTCTCATGCATGGTGTTCATCATTCCCTGTGTCATTTATCATGTGTTTTCGTGACAAAATGTAGTTTGGAGACCAGACAGACTTGGGGGATTCCTCCTGGTGAAAGATCTTGTAATCTGTGACCCCTTGTCACTGATCAGTCATGCAGTGTGTAAACCACAATGATTTTATAAGACAGGTTGAGTATTGTGAACAGTAATGCAAACTGATGACTTTGAAAGTCATGTGGTGTGTACGTGGCATAACCTGCCTAAATATCCTAAGGCAGAAAAAATAAACAACTCTTTACAGTTGTGAATCTGTCACCAGCACGTTTGGCATCTTTACTTTGCTATATGATAAAAAAACAGTTAATCAAAGTCTCAAGAGTTAAATATTCCTAGATCAACTGCATGCTCATCAGAAATCAAGTTTCTGCACAATCAATGAAAGAAGAAAACACATTTATAATGTATACTGTACGTTGTCCATGGGCAAAGAAAACACAAGTCAGTCAGAGTCTGCTGCTGCTCTGAAGCCCTGACCAGAGTCTGAGCAGCGTCTGTCATCTGTTAACTGCAGGTCGGGGTCAGGGCTGTACATCTGTGATCTTCCTCTTGCGGTAGTTGAGAACCAGACTGGAGGCAGTGAGCTGTGTGGCCTGACCCTTCTCCCAGCTCTGGAAACCATTGAGTCCACTTTGTCCGGACCTGAACAGACCTTTCTCCAGACAGTCCAGACGCTCCACCAGTGCAGATGTGTCCTCATTGTAGGCATTCTGGGAAGAGTCCATTGTCCGTCTGAACCGGCCAATGAATGTCTGATGAAAGACAATATGAAGAGTTTCAGAACCAATAGAAAAATAATAAGGTACTGCAGTTAAGGTATTTTATATTAATGGGTTTTTTTAATCATTTTTTGAACCAGCCTTTGACATAAAATTTTATGTTAAACTTGACATATGTATAATTTCATGTGAATAGCTTTAAGATCTTTACAAAAACTGAACTGGCCCCTGTTAAGTTACACGGAGTTCTAACATTTGACAGTAAATAAAGCTTGTTTTTAATTTATAAAGCTGCTATCAGATGAAATTCCTGATTTCCACCTTGATATTTTTGGTTCTTTAGTCTGAGCACAGAGCCTGGGCCACTGCCTGTGCAGCACAGTGTGTATATATATATATGTATATATATATATATATATAATATCAACACTGACATCCACATATTGATTTTCTTTTTTTTTTTACCATTTCAAATCAGTAAAATCTTATTGTGGAACTGTTTGCCATGCATTGATTCACTTAGCCCCTCCTTGCCCCGCTCTCTCTCTCTCTCTCTTTTCTCACAAACACACTGACAACAGACTCGTCTGTCACACTGGGACTGGGCATCAGGAGCACCTGGAGAAATCCCGCCACATCAGTGCACCTGTGGACCGTCACAAAATCCATAAAGCTTTTACCGGCCCTGTCTGTGCACCTCACAGCCCAGACCCAAGTCAGCAAGGGTCATTATTATTTTGACATAGTGAAGCCTACACCCCCCCCAGACACTAGCTGAGGTAATGGGGATGATGTCCATAAATATATCCAAAAATCCAAATGTACCACTTAAAGTTTGTGAAAACCTCGTGGAGTGTAAAGGTATGAAAGTGTGCAACAACCCTGTGTTATGACATTAGAGTCAATCTGCCTGGTAACAGCTGCACCACACAAACTGTATTCTGACATATTCTCTGATCTGAGTGCACCCCCTAGTTGTAATGTATGAAATGACACTGCTGTGACTGTTATTAAATCTGTTAAGTGTCTGTTGATCTGTGAGAATGTGTGGTGAAGACTGGGGGCTGTTGTACAGTGCAACATGTATTCATATTCAATTTAACCACACATGTATTGATACGTTGAAAGCAACCCAGAGAAATGTTTTAAGGTCTGTGAGCTTGTACAGTTCTTTCTGTCTCATGCACTCATGTAGTCATTTCTCACTATGATATACTTATTTGTTCATTTTAAAATTTATTGTCTTTAGCAGAGTCTAAGCACACTTAATAATTCCTCTCCTGCAGGTGTGTCTCACCTCCCAGAGGTCGTAAATATACGCTGCTTTCATAAATCTATTAAGGGGTTTGCAGAGACATGCCGTGTCCTTGATGAAGGAAATAAATCTTTCTAAATAATGTGTAAATAATGTGTGTAACAAGGACCCCTGTCTGATTTAAATATTTATTATTTGTTAATGGTTGTCCAGCGTAGACCTGGACACAATTATAAATAGTTTCACACCAGTATCAGTGGTGAGGTTTGATATTTAATACCAGCACTTTTTTGGACCTTCTCACATTAAATTAACCCCTCTGTGGTATAGTTGTGTTCACCTGCAGCAGCGTCTGCGCAATATCTGGATTCTCTGGGCTATCAAAGTGTAGCATCTGGGATCCCAGGCTGTAGTAGTAGGGCCCCATCTTATGCAGATCCACCACGTTTGGGTCAGCGTTGAACACGGTCCTCCAGCCCTGTCTGTACACTTTAGGAAGCTCCACTGACACCACCCTCCTCTTTCTCTCATACAGACCCTTGGACAACCACAGAGGAAGCTCCATCTTTGTACCCTGACATAAAGGAAACAGACTTCAGAGTTACTGTCATGGTCCGTGCACTCTAGAGTCCATACTGCAAATATGTGTGTTGCTGCAGGCACAGGTTTGAATGGCCTGTGTCCCATGATCATGTAAAAAAAAAAAAAAAAAAAAAAAAAAAAAAAAAATTGAAAGAAATAATTATTATTTTATTTAAAGGTAGGTGAGCCAGCATGCACAATACCAGGATCCTGGCACTTAAGCAGTTTCATGGAATCTAAAATCTTCTTCTATCCTTCTATTGTTTGTGATATTTCTTTAACTAGATTATTTTAAATTCGTTTCATACAGAAAATCTATTTCAATCTAAACTGAACTGTTTTGTGCATCCCCATCCAGTTACTGACCACAAAACAAAACTTCATTATGATCAATGTCTGATTTTCACAGGTAGGTTGTATTATCTCTATTATGTCGACCTGCGACTTAACGTTGTTGAAGTTTAATTTTTATTGACTCAAAAGCTGTTCGGTAAATTATAAATATGCCGGATTTTATTCTTAAATTGTAAAACTTCCGCATATGTAACTCTACCAATACAAAGAGGAAAGAATAAACAGCAAAACATTGAATCGAGTTTAGCGTACGTTTCTTTACACAACAAAAGCATTTATATCTGAGTTACTGTTTGGTATAGTCCTGATATTTTCAGAAAAAATACATTCACAATATCTTAACTGACACTGTGTTTAGTACATTTGCCTCAATAACGTTACCGACCTCCGCTATGTCCTGAGTGTCACTAGACTTCTCCAGGAATCCAAGACGTGGGAAACTGCATTCTGTCCGGATGGGAAGTCTGTCATGAGAGAGCAAAATATCGTCGAGAGACAGGAAATTCTCCTCCATCCCAACCCCAGGCTGTACGGGAAGATACGACTGTGTATCCATTTCTGCTTAAATTGGAACAACAGCAGCAAATACACCGAATATATACTACAAATATTGAGCATAAACTTCTCGTTGTGTTTTTCTTCTTCCTCCTATCCCTTTTGGCGCCAGGACATGTGGACCAATCAGAGCACTGCTGTGAGGTCTACGTCTAGACCAGAGCAATCGAGTCAATCTGATCGAACGGAGTAAAAAAGGGTATCTGTTCTCCACACCTATGATGGTTTTTTTTCTGCTTCATATTGTAATAATTACTGTTTGGTTACGTTTTTTTTTTTTTTTTTTTTTTTTTTTATTTTTTTTTTTTTTTTTTTTTTTTTTTGGGGTGGTTTTTTTTTTTTTTTTTTTTAATTTATTTATTTATTTTTTTTATTCTGTGGTCAGTTGTTTTTTAAAAGCTAAATATTAAATTTAACAAAATCTAAAATATATTATCTGCATTAGGGAAATATAATACCCTGACAACACTGCAATCATTTCAATGACAGTGAAATTAAAATCAAAATTAAATTCCCCCCCCCCAAAAAAAGTCAGTTGCAATTACGATTTTAGCCATTAGAGGTCAGAATATTACCATTATACATTTTAAGTCCCATTTGTCCGTTTTGAAAATGTTTACCAGTAATAAAGGTAGAATTAGTATAGTATTAGTTTTAGTATTAGTATTATTGTTAGTATCATACAGAAATGAGATGTTCTGGACAATGACAAGTACTTCAAATAAGCACAGGAAAGTCCTTGCCTGAATTTATATTAATTTAAAATTAGCAAATTAGCATACTACATATTGCTCTTTTACTCTATCCCTCTCTCTGTCTGTCCTGATCACATTTATCAGTCGATGACAACCTGTTAGGGTTCCATCCGTTTACAAATCTAGACAACAGGAAGAACAGGTCAGTCATCTTTCTTATTTTGACATTTTTTAATATTATAGATTATTATATGTCATTATATATATTATATCTATATATTATATAGATTGCATATTAAGGTCATCAGATATGTTAGTCGCTGCCCTCAAAAGGTAGGCAGCCATTCACATCCATGGAGAGTAAAATAAGACATGAACTAAAAGGGGTCCTTCATGTTAAATGAAGGTACTGTATTCATGTAGCTGTGTGTCTGAGGCGAGTGGACAAGCAGGCAGTTCAGTGGGGTTACTGTCAACTGCAGCAGCAGCCTGAAGCACACGTCATTCCTAAAAGAGATCATCCCCCTCTATTAGTCGTGCACCATGATACACTTGGAACATTGTGTGCCACACAACAGGCAATGAGGTTAGCAGTTATCATTATTATTTGGCTTCTCATGGCCCACTGTTATGCACCATGATCCTGCTCAAGTTAACACTGCCCTCTGCCTCAAACCCTCCATGTGTCATGGCCTTAATAAGGAACAGGGATGATCTCAGCACTAAAAGGATTGTAACACTTTATTTGAAGTGGTGCTCATGAGGTGTCATATACATATTATGATCACAAGTGCTTTAATATTAGATGTGATATAATAAGGAAAAAACTCTTCTGGGATTGAATACTTTCTGCTGAAAACAATTTCATACCACATTCAGACTTCGCTAAAGCCGCATTAGACATCGTCACATGATGACTGCTCTGAAGGCAGCAAGAGGCAACTGTTTAACAAAATGTGAAATTAAATTCCCACAATTTCAAAGTCAAGTCACAAAGCATATGTTTACCAAAAGAGTGTGGGATGCTTCATGAAGGATAACAAAAAAATTGATTTAAAAATAAAAACTTTCAACTCCTCAGAGTCAACTCATCACTCTTTCTGCAGAGATATGACCATGTCCTGACGCAAGAACTTCATTTGTTAAGAGTGTGTGATTTTGTTTCTTAAGAACTGTAGTATTTTTAAATGCTAATTGCAGCTTTAATTTATGGCATCGTACACTCTAATGCTAATTGTTTTCTGTGTGTAATTATTAATCAATTTTTTGGTGACTTGATGGGAGTGGAACAAACTAAACACCACCACCTCAACATATTATTACCTTCTTGAGTTTTATGGCTAACGAACGTGTTAGCAAACAGTTGCCTATGTACACATCAGTCAGACACAGAGCAATATCAGCAAGCATTTGGGGTCATTTGTTTGTTGTCCAATATTCAGTCTCCTTTTAGCTCAGTTTTCAGTTAGCTCCTGATAGAAGTATGTGCTAAAGAGACAATGTTCACCAGCAGTCTAACTTTGTCTTCTGGGAAGTGCTGGGCAAGTAGCGTAGACTGGGTTTACAGTGTACATAAACTTTCTTGCTATAAAAAGGAGCCTGCTGCTGTTGATGAAAGTGATGAGAGTGAACAGAAAACAAAGGTTTCAGCCTGTAAAACCAAAACAAAACGCAAGCTACAGTGATGAAGCTGCTGCAGAAACTCAGTCAGTTGATGATTCTTTGTGGGTTCAACACTACATTGTTAATATAAGAATACAAATTAGTGCAGCTTCAATATCTGGCTCTTCAGTCACTAAATACTCCACTATGTTCACCAGCTGCTTACGAACTCTGTCTTTTGGCGGGAAAACAAAAACATTGAGCTTAATAAGTCTAAAACACTACATAGCGCAGAGGGGGGCGGCAGAGCTTGGTGATTATTCACTCTGGGTTTGTCACTATGAGAAACCCTTTTCACATCCCACTTCACTGGATCACATAACTTTTACTAGTGCAGCTTTAAGCTAACTGTGGTGCATACATACATATGTTTACAGACCTTATAATTCCTGCTAATGTACATTTTAAGTGAAGATTATGGAAAGACTCTTATGATAAGGACCCCAATGCACTGTGCTGACTTCATCATTCATCTTTTACAGAAAATGGTAATCCTCATGACTGGTTCAGAGAACAGAGCAGCCCATGTTGTGTAAATGGTTAACTCCCAACTTACCACATTTTAGGCAGTTTTCTGCAGCTGTCAGCTTCAGAGCTCTACAGAGGCCCCTTTGAGAGTAGACTGCATTCAGTTACTTCCTGGTATTAACACCTATAAAGGTGACTATATAGCTATAAAAGCAAGGGGGGCCAACTTCTCCACCCATCAAAATTTAAGTTTAGCGCAAAGTTATACCTCAGGACTTAGAATGATTGATAGATGAAAATGATCAAAATATAGTAGGCTGCCAGATGCCCAGATAGTTCTCCACGGACACATACAGTGGTACACACACACACACACACACACACACACACACTTCCACGCATATAAAACTTGGGGTGTGAGGCTGTTAGAAGTTCTGATCAGTGATTTCCTGTCAAAGTCTTGTAGAAGTAAGTCCAACTCTTACACAGCAATTTCCAACAGTGAAACAGGAGTCAAGGGTGTAAGAGGTGGGGTCAACGTGTTTTTTTTGCAAGTGGTTCAACATTGTTTATCATAAAGGTAGCCATACGTAGACAAAGTGATGTCAAACTAGGATATTTCCTTAAGCTACAATGGAGTTTGATAACAGATGGTATTATTACCAATGTTCAACCATAATTCAAGTAGAAATTAGTCGATGAAAAGTAAAACAGACCAATGTAGTATGCCTTCAGTAGCTTCAATAGACCAGAATGCACTGCAGCCACAAAACATATTAATAAGTAGGCATTAGAAAATGTTTGTTTCCTAAATAAAATCACAACTCCTGAGGTGTATTTTGGTACAAAATATCTAATAACCTATCACAAACCTCTGATGTGTGCAGCAGTGAAGAGTGAAACAGTGAAAGCTGGATTTTGTAGAGAATGCATAAAAGACTCAGCAGTTTAAAGTCCACTTCCAAATTGTGGTTAAATTTGAGATGATATCAGCAACTGTGTCCCTTTGTCCCAAAACATTTTGAATTCACTGCAGCTCTAATTTTTACTTCCCTGGCTTCTTCTCCATAGAAATGGTAGCTAAGACTCATGGGTATTGTAGTGTTTAGATCCATCCACCATGCCAAAAAAACAATAATGACTAATTGAAACAGGATCACACAAACCCTGTTTAGAAAAAGTGGATACATCACATTTGATCATAAAATAACTCATGGGGTGTGTTAAACATTTCTGAGTGATGTGTGAGTAAAAGATGATTCAACGGTGGATTTTTCATTGAAGACCAACTGTAGCCTGATGTCCCGTTAATATACAGGTATGATCGCATTGTATGTCTATAGGCTAATAGTAATGTCAGCATTAAAGTTCCCATATAGTCTAAAGGTAGATGTCCATGTGTTGTTTGATTATAAAGCAGGTCTAGGTTCTATACTAAGATTGGAAAAGTATCAAAGCCTCAGTCCACAGAGAAATGCACACAGCCTGTATTCAGAAACTGAGCCTTAAAACCAGCTGTCAGGACTTCTGGAACTTTGTGATGTCACAACAAAGCAGTCACCATCCTCGGCCATGCCCCAAGCCCCGCCCATCTGGACCCAGCATCCAACCCTGCAGGATTTGGTTTCTCTGAATGTTTACCTGAAATCTGCTATATTTTTTATTGAATCACTCAGAAAATAGTGAGCCAATCAGAAGAGAGGCTCAGAGCCTCCTCTCTTCTGATTGGCTCACCAACCTGTTGCCACTAGAGCTTCAGAGAGAAGCCTGAGAGAGGAGATGTAAAACTACACTGAGATGGTTTTTAGTTCTTAAAACCACAAATATATCTTCTTATGGATCAACACTTCAAATAAAACACTGGAAAAGTGTGAAATATGGAGCTTTAAGATGGGAAGCTGAGTGTTGTTCTGTTGTGTAAGTTGTATCTGGATCACAGAATCAAAGTTCAAAACAGAGTGTCATCTAGCACAATTTATTCCACCATTTGTTTACAGTAGCTTTTTGTAAATGCAGTTTGTTTGTATGATTTGGTTTGTAGTAGTCTTCATAAATCAGCTCTGGCATTCTGAAGAGTGAGTAACACCTCACATGACTGGAATATTAAACAAATATTGTTAAATATGAACAAATGAATAAATAAGCCCCGTTCAGTGGATCCACAGTGGGACTACAGAGTCCGTTTTCAGGTCTGAGTGGCTCACGTCTCCAGTCGAAGTTAACCAGACCTACTCTAGCAGAAACACAATGTGGGGAACCGACAGTAGCATGAGTCTCACACTCAAGCACACATGCACAAACAGTCATATGCACGGAGATATACACACACACACACACACACACACACACACACACACACACATACGCACACACACACAGGCACACATACTCTCACACTCAAGGCTCTCACTAGAAAATGACCAATTGTGATCACATGAAAAAATCTGGCAGATCTAAAAAGAAAGAACTGAGAGAGGTTACATGTATAATTTACAATATGTCATGTCGCTTCTTTGTAGCTGTAAACATCAGCAAAGTAAAGGGAGGACTGCCAGTCGCACACACAGGGAACATGGACATCTACACTGTAAACATTTCAATACATAGACACACAGCACTGTCTCAGTGGGCCCTCTACACTGACCTTTCATGCTGCTTTCAACACACAACACACCACACACACACACACACACACACACACACCACACACACACGCGCACACACACACACACACACACACACAGTCACTATGCTTCAGCAAAAGCTATTTTGTCACCGTTCCGAGGTCTCTTGAACACACACACACACTCACACACACACACACACACACACTCACACACACACACACAGACACACACACACATGGTGTACATACACATACAGGATGAAGCCTGACACTGGAGCATCCCTAACGTACATGTTACACAGTAGGAGCGTAAACAACATTGCTGGCCTCTTCGTCCCTCCCAATCAGAACTGAGTGTGCTCAGACTACTCCTCCATCCCCAGTCCGTCTTCAGGTTCCCCCCTCTATTTTGTACATACAAGACAAGCTGACATCCCAGGTTTTTTTTTTTTATGCTAAACCCTCCCTGCCTGCCCAGGTGTGCATAAACCCGATCTAAGGTTTTGATGTAATTCTTATGAGTCAAATTGGCGAGGAAGGACACAGAACTGAGGCAGGAACTATGAGAGAGAAGCACACCGGGACCGAGTCTTTTATGTGAGGATGTCACTGAGTCGGAGTCCTGTTGTGAAATGAGAGGCCCACTGAATATTGTACAAGACTGTTTCTCATAGCAAGCTTCTGCAACTCAACAATCCTCCATTTGTCCTCTCTTCCAATCTTCGTCTTCTTTTTCTTCTTCTTCTTCTTCTTCCATCCTCTTCCCTCCTGCCCCCTCCCTGCTCTGTTCCCTCTCCTCTCCCCAGTTAAGGCCATGGGAGGGTTGGACACAAATGACCGACAGGTTTGGATCCAGATACAAGATGGAAGGCCAGCTGCTGGAGACCTGTAAGGACCTGAGCACCTCAGAGAGGCAACTGGCCACGGCTGATTTGGAAGGGGAGTTGAGGCCTGATGAAGCCCTTTCAGGGATTCTGTTTGCCAGGATATGTGAGGGGGGGGAGGAAGGAATGTGGATTTTTAAAGCAGTCTTCTCAGCAGATGTAAAATGGTGGGCTCGGGAGGGGCCCTTTAATGTACAATGGTTTGACGGTCACGTTTTTTTTGGTTCAGTTCACAAGGAATAATTATCTTGGTTAGGATGATGGATTCTGTCAGGATAAGTATGTGTTGATCGCTTTGATTGTTTCATCGGATTTGGTTGCGTCTGTGTCCAGATATCCATGGCAGGACCACGAGATGTTCTGCAGACAAAGAGTGAGGAAGGGACAGACACAGAGAGAGAGACAGGGAGTCTTTTAGTTAAATGTGGTTCATTAAGCAACATATTCATGGATGAAAATGATTTCAGTGGCTCAGATGATAATAATTTGTGCAATTTCATAAACACACTCTGTATATAAGAGTAAACCATAGAAAAACAGAGAGTGTATGGATGTGACTTTTTCTACCAATATTTGTGTTCAAGAGAAGACATTCAGATTATTTCATCTTTAACCCTGATATTATTCTAGGATTTGTCATTGTTAGCCATGCTAGCATTTGAACTCTATGTGTAATGTGCATTGGTCAGCTACCACTTTGGTACAGACTGAAACATCTCAAAAAATACTGGATTACCATGAAATTCAGTACAGACATTCATGGTTCCCAAAGGATGTAGTGGATGCTGACTTGATCCCTTTCATCTCCAGCCTTCATGAGGTTAACATTTATGTGTTTTAGTATAATTCATACTAAATCCCACTGAGCAGCTACTGGATGGATTGTCATGGAATTTTCTTAATGACTTTGGTGAACCTCCAGGTGACTTTTCTCCCAGCACGACTAGGTCAGAAATTTCACTTAACCAGTGTAATATGTCAAAATCTACTGGCTGAATGTTTGCCAGAGGATGTATCATTTCCCCCATTTTCTTTTGTAATGTGTCAACAACTATTAGATGGATTGCAATTAAATTTGGTGCGGGCATTCATTCCCATCAGGATGAATCCAAATGACTTTGGTGATCCTATGACTTAATCTGGTGCCGTCATCAGGTCAACATATTAATTTCTTCAACACTTTAGTTTATGAACCTTCACCTGAAAGACTAATGACATTCCCATCAGTCAAACATGCCCGCTTGACATCATCATGTTTCCATTGTCACTGAGAACATGTTAACAAACTAAAATTAGCATTTAGCTCAGAGCACTTGTGTGTCTAAGTACAGTCTCATAGAGGTGCTAGCATGGCTGTAGACTCTTGGTCTTATTACAGTATGAATGTGTCCTATTCTAGGTTTTATGTTTTATTGTGGCTGTATCTTCTCTGTAAAGAACTATGTGGCTTGACCTTTGAAAGGTTCTGTACAAATAAAGATATTATCATTTAAATTTTTCATCATAAAAATTTAAAAACTGTTTGGAATTATTTCTAAAAGCTTCATTTAGTCTTTTGAAACCCAGGATACCAATAATACTGCTAATAATAACACGGATACTGATACACATTCATACATGAATAAAATCTCACCAATTTCTAACAATTTCTGGTTCTGTTTAAAGGGCTTCCCATTCACAACAATATCTATAATACTTAAACTGAATTTGTATCCAGTCAATTGCATCAAATCCATTATATCAATGGAGGAAGATAGTCAGTCTGGATATTTAAAGTAAATATGAGCTTCTGCTTCACTTGCACACTCTTATCTTTTAAACATTAGCATTCACAGTGTGTGCATGGTCTCACCTTGAACAGTATTCATAGTGGGCCTGGTGGTAAGTCAGTCAGATGGGTGTTCAGGGCAGGACCGATTGATCTCAAACCATGAGTCTATACAGCTGCAGATACACATAGACACACAGTTACTTTACACAACCACTAGTCTACAGAATACAGAGGACACTTAGCGCACTAAGCTGACTAATCAAAAGGTCAGTCAACAGGGCTTGAGAAAAATTACAGTCAGCAAAGTCATAATTAAAAAATACAAAAATACATTTAATTAAACAAGGGACATCGTAAGATATCAACTGAATGATACTGTAGTGTTAAATGGATTCAGTACTACAGAGGATTGCTGCTGAAGCAACACAAAGGCATGTAGGAAGGCCTCCATATACACCCACAGTAACAGAACATACACAAAATGTAAACATAATATAATATATATATATATATATATATGTATATATATGTATATATATAACATAATATATAAATAAGACCCAGACAGCTCACTCATATGTGCATCATTTTAAACTTGTAACATTTCACATTGTGACTATGTTTTATGGAACCATCAGTATTTTTGTGTGGTAGAAGAAGACCATTTACTAAAGTGAAAGTAGCTATTTAAGTGAAAGTAGTGAACCACAATGTAGAAGCACTCCATTACAAGTAAAAGTCTTGCATTCAAAATGTTACTAAAGTAACACCACAGAACTAGAACCAGTAAAACTTTATTTTGTCAAAAATAAAAGTACTTATTTTGAAAACTAGCACCATCTGAGGGTTACATTGTTGTATAATATTAAATACTTTTGGAATATATCTCAATATATAAGAAGTATTTCACATTAATGTTGTTATTGAAGAGGAACTAACTACTTCTGGGTGTTTTTATGTAAAACAGTACATCTATGTTTTGCATGTAAAATCTTTTTCTGGAAAATTACAGTATAGCTGTCATATAAATTAAGTTTTGTAAAAAACAAATAAATAATGAAATAATGCTCAAAATGTAATTGGGCAACTTTAACACTCTCCAGCCAATAGATGCATTTAAATTGACGTTAAAAAATGCATTTAATGTGGTTAAAGCAGGAGTGATTTATGAATTAAAGACTGATTGATTCTGACAGTATCTGTTTTATAATGTATGAAAACTTCTCCTTCAGTTCATAAAATCCCTGCAGCCACTCGAAGGCAGCAGGACGCATGTGTTGAGAAATCTACAGCCGCTGATTTGAGAAGTGCTGAGCCACGACCATTCAATTTATTTACCTTTATTAATTAGCGTGCAAATGACACCAGGCTGCTATAGGAACAACCTCACACGCCTCTACATGCTTCAGACTGGCTGGTTCGCTCATTAATCCTGTGCATCATCACCTTTCTTTACAACTTTGTTTTTTCCAAGTTTTTGTTTTTCAGCAGTTCATGTTTTATTCTTGAAATGCCTAAAATGTAAATACTGCTGTATCACAGTTTAAGATTTGAAGTGACAATTTAAAATATGAGACTGAAAAAGCATTGGATCAATATGATCATATACAATCACTGGGCACTTTATTAGGAACACTCGTAGGCCTTCTTATTCATGCAATTATCTAATCAGCTAATCATGTGGCAGCAATGCAATGAATAAAATCCTGCAAATACATGTGAGGAGCTCCAGTTCATGTTCACATCCAACATCAGGATGAGGAATAATGTGATCTCAGTGACTTTTGACCATGATCATGACACGATTGTTGGTGTCAGACGCTGGTTTGAGTTTTTCTGGAGCTTCCGGTGAGCAGCAGCTCTGTGGATGAAATAACTTGTTGGTGAGAGAGGTCAGAGGAGAATAGACAGACCGGTTGGAGCTGACAGAAAGACTACGGTCACTCAGATAACCACTCTTTACAACTGTGGTGAACAGAAAAGCTTCAGTGGGAACAACATGTCCAACCTTGAGATGGATGGACTACAACAGCAGATGGTCTGATGGATGTGGATTTGTGCTGATGCAGCAGATGGTCAGGTCAAAGTTTGAATCCATGGATCCAACCTGCCTTGTGTCAACAGTCCAGGCTGCTGGTGGTGTGATGGTGTAGGGAATGTTTTCTTATCACACATTGGGCCTTTAATACAAATCAGTCTTGGTCTGAGTGTCACAGTCTTTAAGAGTATTGTTGCTGACCATGTTCATCCCTTCATGGCCACAGTACCATCTGCTAAAGTCTACTTCCAGCAGGATAATGCTCCATGTCACAAAGCTAAAGTCACAAACATGGAGCAGAGTCTCAGAGGAAAGTTTCAACATCTTGAGGAATCTGTGACATGAAGACCTGAGGCTGTTTGAGAGCAAAGAGAGGACCTACCCAGTGTTAGTGTGGTGTTCCTAATAAAGTGCTCAGTTAGTGTAAATGGCTTAACCAAGCCATTTTCATCGCTTATTTAATTAAATGCTAAAAATACAGAAACATGTTGTCGCCTTGTGTATCCACAACACGCCACTCTGCAACATGCAGACAACAATATCAATTTCTATTTCATTTGTTGAGTTGTCATACTGCACTATGACTGGCTTAGCTGTTTTGGAGCTTTGAGATCAGTGGTGTGACTGGCTGACACCTCACACTGCATTTTGTGCGGCTGCACCTAGGTCCAAGACCAAGCTCTGCTAATGGAATAAACCAGTAGTGCTGGGATAAAACACTGGGTCTGATGGTAAATATATAAAATAGCCACTTAGCTGTAAGAGTTTTAACACTCACTAGCAGCTATCAGTCATCTCCAGCCTGCTCTCATTTCTTTATGCTAATTATCCCGAGCTATCACAGCTGATTTGACAGTGATATATGAATGTTTAGAAATGCTACACGCAGCACCTTTATTATCCAGTGATATAATATATATAATATCTAAATCAAAGGCAACGAGCACTGTCCATCTTATCTTATCCAGTAAGTGGATTTAATTAGAAGAAGTGCAAAATTATATAACGGGCAGTGATTCAAGTGTGTGTGTGTGTGTGTGTGTGTGTGTGTGTGTGTGTGTGTGTGTGTGTGTGTGTGTCACCTTTTGTGGTAGATGCAGAGGCACGGCAGTCTGGCTATGGTGTCCCCTTGCTGCAGTTCCTCTAGACAGATCACACACTCACCAGCATCCCTCGCCAACACATCATCTAAGGTGGCAGGCGCACACACATACACACACACACACACACACACACACACACACACACACACACACACACACAAAGAGCAGAACACATATCAGTATCTACCAAAAACAGTGACATTTTCATAGTCTGACAGCATATCAAACACAGCAGAGGGCAGTAGGGGGAGCAGCTTGGTGAATTATACACAGTAGATAGTTGTTAGTTCCTTATTGTACCAATGCACAATGAGGACATTTAAGATGAGGAGGAGTCTTGAGTTTGTTTCCAGAGTAAAGAAATAACAATGCCCATCACATGGAAATCTCATGGAAGTATTTTTCCTTCCACACATTTTACTAACTGTAATGAATGCAGGCTTAAAAAGCCATGAATGGTTTTCACACTAAGGCCAATAGTGCTATAAAATGTATTCCCATTTTATTTTACTTCATTTAAGAAAGATTTCAAATAATTAACTCCATAACGGAATATTGTAGCATTAACATTAACTGTGTTTTTATGTTATGATTTGAGAGGCATCCTAACAGAATAATAACGAATACACATTGAAATCACCATATTAAAAAAACAGTCAAAGAGTGGTGATGACAGATCACAGTTACCAGGTGACATAGTAACTCAACAACCTTTATAGTTTGCAAGTTTTTCAAATATGCCACAGATAGAAAAAGCTGAGCAGGTGATGGAAATATAATATAAAGAAATACTGATACTACTCAACTCTCAAAACCGTCTGAGACAACTATCACTTCTACTATACTCTGCATTACTCTGCAAATAGAACAGAAGCTAGTTGTCACACAAGTAGGAAACAAGCAAAGATGCTAATAACATATCTCCTGATAGGTGAAATATATGGCAACATCACTCTTGATATTGGGCTATATACAGTCTGTCAAATACAGTGTTACATTTCTGTATGGGTGCCCAATCTGGCCCAATTACATTAGCTAATTAGCACTTAAGTATTGATCTTTCGAGTATAGAGCTAATCCTCAACATCTTCAGGTCAATATGTGGGTTGATGGGTCCAAAATGTTCCATGACACCAGATTTCTGCCACTGTGGGGCAACAAAGACTCTGTGGCCTAATCCTAATTAATACTAATACTAGCTTGCTACCAGGGTGTTCAATGAGTCAGAAGCCTCTCCACATTCAGTTGTGAATACAACATTACATACTGTGGCTTTAAGAGCCAAGGTGGTTGCAGCTAGTCACTGTATTATGTACTATTATCTGTATTTTTGTGTGTAATCTTTGGTGCTAAGCTAATAACTGCTGTATTTTATAGCACCTTTTTCTGCTTTAACTGCTTATAGTTACTGTTCTCTTTGTCTGTTTAATTCAGAGCTTTACTCCTTCCCCAAGGGCATATTTTAGGCAACGTTATTTGCAAATTTAAAAACAGACAAAAAAAGAAAATACATAACAAAAATACAAAACCAATTGCCAATTAGGTCCTGATTGATAGGGTCCAAGACTACAAACGCTCATTGCCAGTGCATAAGAAATGCATTTATACTCATGAGTCTATACACAGAGTAAACTGTCCATCACATGATGTTCACAAGTCTTATGGCTTCTGGAATAAAACCAAACTTTCTTCTATTTGGTCATATGGTCTATAAACTCATTTCTAATGACACTGGTTTGAAGAATTCATAAGGATCATGTGTGGAGTTACTGATAATCATAAACGCCCTTTGAGGACTTGTTTACTATTGCATGAACAAGAGATCTTTGTGTTTTGCCAATAATAGTGGAGCTGAGATTAATTACACCTTGTAATTGATTTGACGAAGTTCAATCTACTTTTAGCTCTGTTTTGGTCTCCACCAGTAAAAAAAAACACTAAAAAGCACCGTAGAGCACTGCGGGGAACTGCAGAGTGGAATGATAATTCCCAGCTCGGAGTGATCCTTTAAATTACACATTTTCATTTTATCCATTGTTTATATGAAAATATAGATAAATAACAAAGGAACAAATTGCAAAAAAGTTTCCTTTCACACTGTTTTGGATGTAAAACTGATGTTATCTACAAAATCCTTATAGCTGCAAGATCTACAGCTGTTAGATAAATGGTAATAATATAATAAAGTCGTAACATTTAAGTACAGTGTCTGAATAAATATACATCACGTCTGTATGTCACATATTATTCCCTAAATACTAAACAATAGATAGATAGATAGATAGATAGATAGATAGATAGATAGATAGATAGATAGATAGATAGATAGATAGATAAGGAGAGGGGGGCAGACGATGAGATGGAGACAGAAGACATGTGCTCTGACTGCAAATCAGCTTAGTTCCTCAACAAACTCCCATAACCCAGCTCTCCTCCTCCCTCCCGCTCCCATTCTCTATATCTCTATCCTCTCCTGACCCCTCTTCCTCTCTTCTATTGTTCATTGTAGCACGTCCTTCTATCCCTCCATCCTCTGCCACCCTCCTGTAAACACCCAGCATCTCTCGTACAGAGCGCTCTGGGTTAAATCATAGGAATCTACATACACTGTGTGACAACAACAACACAGCAGCTCTACTCGTCCTCTTCCTCTTCCTCAAATTGCCTTAGCACACAAATCCAACCAGAAAACACTCAGATTAATCAGCTCCCAAAAAGTCTGCATAGTTTAAGCGACATGACTTTGCCTGTTTGACAGCGAGTGCAGAGTGAATTAAATCTAAAGTCAACATCTGATCCAAGCTTTAATAATCAAGTGAAGAGGCTTGTTCAATCTTGTTTCTTTCACCTGTAAAATGGTTAAAAAGATGAGGTCATCTGGATAAAGTTAGTGCCCAAGCTTATCACAGACCAGAGCATGTAACCCCTGGTCTAGCTAACCTCCATTGACTGAATTTTACAGCTGATTTTAGTGTTAATCTAAAAGAACGTTCATGATCTTGCAGCTACATTATGAGCATGTGATCTGAAATCCAGTTTGAGCTGGAACTAGGTCATTGCAGTACAGAAGGTAACATACTGTCCTATGCTATAGAGCAGACTGAGAGTTTAAAGACCTGCACGTGTTGTCATGAAGCTGCAATGTGCATATGAAAGTGCTGAAGAAACTAATATTCCGGTTTGAAGATTTTTGAACAAGTTCTCCACATTAAATTAAAAAATATATAATTTGTCCGTGTCCTTTTGAAAAGTATTTTCTTATCTAGTTGGTCACTTTGTCCTGCAGCTTTGACACTGATGAGAGTCGTGAGAAGTAAAGTGAAAAGTTGGAATTTGAAGCTGTGATCTGAAAATGGTTCACCCTCTGAGGAGCATGAACCTGATCAGTTAGTCTCATAGCAATTTGTCAGACTTGAAGGTGTTTGAAGACAAATCAGGGGTTTATTCCCTGAGGACCATGAATAAACCCTAAATGTCACAGCAATCTGTCTGGACAGATAGGTAGTCTGACATTAAAATCCTTAGGCTTCTAGCACAGAATGTAAATAAGAAGAGACTACCCTTAATATTACATACACATTCTACATATACAATATGTTATGTAATATATATTATTTAATCAAGGATTATAACACATGTGCAGGGTGTGTAAAAAGTGTGTTCAAAATCCCTCCCTATTTGCTACACTATATGTACTGTCCGTCATTTTATAGGATTGTCTGAATTCTGAGCGTGAATTTTTAACTCCATATAGTGGAAGTAGTTTGACTCATGGATTGCATTCCTTATTCATCCATCAAAACATAAGCAAATGAATGAATAATGATGAATAATCCAAATGCCTTTAGGTCAAATAAATTCAAAGTTGACTTACTACTACTTCCTGGAACTCATGGGAAATGTTGCGCATTGCTAACAAAGTAATTGCATTATCTTAAAAGAAAGAGGCATTCCATCTTTAACATCCTGTACAACAGCAGATACTGGTTTAAACTAGAATATATAGACCCAAGCTTTTTAGAAAAACTGTTGAAAAAAATCTGGGGTGAAATGCCCAGGAATAAAATGTAAAATTATGGATGATATCAAAATAAATTGCACCAGGACAAAAGTCATGACATGTGAAATATGTTACAAATGAGACTGTGATCAGAACATGAGGAAATGGGATGTCAGGTTGTGCAGACTCTCCCAGGTCTCTGCATCATTAGCTCTCTTCTCACCTGCCCCTGTTTCCCTCTTGACTTTCAGCTGTCTCTCCCGGTTGCCTGCCTGCCAAAAGACATTTGGCATCTAGCACCTTCACATCAGTTATGAGCTGGAGGAGTCGCTCTGTGCTTCTCTGAATCACAGCACTAAATTCCCTCTTTCTTGTCCCTTTTCGTGTCCTCCAATGACCTGAGCTGCAGGAGGTAAACTGCACACTCACTCTTTCGCTTTCTGCGCCTCCATACCACCCTCCTGACTTCTATGTCTGTATCTGCCCCCCCCTCTGTGCGAGGGGCTATATTTAGTGGGAGGCATTAAAATATCATCATGCAAAGTCGAAGCCCAGAAAAGATCCAGTGGTCAGCTCACGTGGACTCGGTGCTACCAATAACCCTCACCTGCGTCACACTAACTAAAATGCACAGCACATGTACACATAACACATTTTCTTTCTGTGTTCTGTGTCCATTTCATTTAGTACATATAGATTTATGCAAGAAATTAAAGCTGCAGTCTAACTTTGTGCTCATTCAGGGCAGCAAGGATGGAGAATTTAGAGTCATATTTGTTATTGGTGTGCAGTGAAAATGTCAGAAGAGTCTCTTAGCATCTCCAACCTTAGTAAATGTGCTGTGTTTGGTGTCTAACCATGTCACACTTTAATATATAACTTATTTGTAATATTTTTATGAATCAAAACATCGTAATGTGGACAGGTGCTGTCAAAATGCTTCACCATAGGGATGGTGTTAGCCAGGTGATGAGTAGTGCCTTGTGTTTGTCAGACATAATGTTTGAAGTTCTGCTCTGTCTCATCACAACCTATGCTCTCAGAGTCTTTGCTGTTCAACAAACTCCAAGCAGGCTGTCATATGT